AGCCGACCTTTTGAGACAAAGGAGGAAAGTGAACAATTCAAATGTCCCTTAAGACTTAAAGAAACAAAAGGCATTTCTACTTCAAATCCTTTGTCATTAGTAAAACCAAAGAAAGGAATGCATTCTGGAATGAATGTTTCCTTTTATGTTGGCATGTTTTCCTCCTTTACGACGACGTGGCCGAGTCTTGTTCTCGCTCCGTCCCCCGCCAGAAAACGTGACCTAAAAAGCATGCAAGCCAACCATCACAAAAGCACATCACAGCAACTCGACTGCGGAACTCTTCCGGGGGTATCTTTCTGCCTGTCGTGTTGGCCAGATGAGGTTACATTTCCGTCGCCGTGTTTGGGGCCGACCCGAACCGCGCCACGGGATGAGGTTTCGCGCCATATTGACGGCGAAAACACCCGCACCGGAGAGTCTGGGATGTAGGTCACCGCGCCACCGGTACACAGCATGGAAGGACTCGCCCACTGAGGGATGCCGGTCGGCAGAACAACCGGGCAGAGGCGTGGGAGCGGCAGGGGACACCCGCATCGTCCCGCGGGGGAGATCAGAAGGAAAAGCTTATCAGCGCTGACGGACGACGAGAGCGAGGTGGGAAATGGAGAGAGAGGGGGTGGGAGGGAATGGGAAGGAGATTCGAGAAGATAGCGAGAGGAGGTGGGAGAGATAACCATCAACGAACTGCTTTCACTCAGCACGTCTCAGTGCATGGGAGACACTCCAGAGCCGCTCCAGGGGGAAGGGAGGGGGTTGGGGAAGGGGGGGGGGCAACACGGTCCAATCAACACGCGCCTGGTGAAGTTGACAAACTACAACGCCAAAGGTCTCACGGGCCATCGGCCCAGAAGGCTATTGGCTCAGGCCGTCTTCCAGTGGTTCCGACCATGTCGACAAGGCTTGAGAAGCCAACGAGAAGAGAACATGAACGAGAAGAGAAAATGGACGGGTCACCATGAAGCAGGCCAGATGAGCCAAATTTCGCTAGTCTGTAGACCCGCTCATCACCGACTGGGCTTAGCCAACATGCTGAACATTCTACCCTCCAGATGAACAGGCTGCCCACAAATGTCATCTAGTGGGCTGCCGGGCGCAGCGTCCCGTATGGACACGATATGGACACGTCCGCGATATTTTCCAGAGCGAGGAAAAGGGTGTTTCAGTCCACCGACGCGCGGAAGCTCTAAGAAAGGCAACAGCTCCACATCACCAGGGGGCAAACGTCGAAGCATATTAAGGGGCTCGCGTCGAAACCGACACGACCGACCAGGAAGGAAAGTGCTCTTCCTGCGCAGGTGGATCGCCGACCTTGGCCGCTCTGCCATATTGGCCTCTCTTGGCCTCATCTTGCCTCATCTTGGCCGCTCATGATCTTGGCCTCATCTTGGCCGCTCATCATCTTGGCCTCATCTTGGCCTCTCATCATCTTGGCCTCATCTTGGCCGCTCATCATCTTGGCCTCTCTTGGCCTCATCTTGCCTCATCTCGGCCGCTCATCATCTTGGCCTCATCTTGGCCGCTCATGATCTTGGCCTCATCTTGGCCGCTCATGATCTTGGCCTTATCTTGGCCGCTCATCATATTGGCCTCATCTTGGCCTCTCCAGGTGGGGTCTGCTCAGAAAGCTGGGTGGGCAGAGCCCACAGCCAAACCATCTGAACCAATCACGCAGCCAGCAGCCGCCGGCCAACCATCACTGAGAGGACCAGCCAACTCTGTCCGGGAGATGAAGCTGTTCTCAAGGAGAAAGACAAAGTCGCTAACGGCACGCTACCCACTCGAGGCACGCACCGCCCTAGTTTCGCTCCGCTGCTGCAGTGGGGCGCGCACTGAAGTATACATATCTTGCATACTGTGCGCAGTACTCCAGTGAGTATGCATATCACAGAGGCGGGGTTTGCTCGAGTTGACCCGCACTTATGACTGGGTGCAGAATGCGGCCCACTCCGCCCAGATGGGTAAACTCGCCACACCAGGATGCGCCCTTCGCTTGGTGCAGGTCTTCCTCGCCGATTTCCGGGCCAGAGTCGTGTGGAGTGTAAGTACTCTCTCT